TTTTTATACTTTTCATGTCAATTGCGTTTTCAATTTTTTTTAAAGTGCATCTGATTTGGAGAGGAGACCATCGTGGTTTGTGGTCTCAGTGGACGCGTTTATTGTTGTCTGCGTGCAGGTATGAGCCTCGCATACCTTTGCGCGCGTGAGGACGAGTCTGCGGGCCCATGCCGCGTGTGTTGACTCAAGCGTAATGTGGGCCCATGTGGACAGGATGCTTTGTGCTCAAATTGTATTTTGAGCAAACACAATCGGATTATTTTTTGTTGAACGCAGCGCGCCGCAGCGCACGTGCCTGGAAAGTTTTTTCCCCATTTTCTTTGAGTGCGGCGAGCGTCGGAAGGACATGAATAGTGAAACGAAAGCCATAAAGTTGCCCGATCTGCAACCCATTGAGGCGTTATGCCTCCTAGGCTGCTCACAGCCGTGATAATGCCTCATAGGCCCCCGTACAGCTGTTTCTCTAAACGTCTGGCTGTGTGGACAAAGGTGGCGTTTCATCATTGAATGAGATGCCATTGGACAGTTCCACGATTTCAAACGCTTATTTCAGACACTTCAACTGATGTTCACGTGCAAGATTAAGTACGCACATCACGCGTGTAGGATTTTATTAACGATGGACTCCTCAATTGTTGTATGGCCCTAGTAGCCTGCCAACCCATTTTTTGGGATGCCCACAGTGGGGAGCTGATCCAGCTCATCGGAGATTGCGTCCAAAAAGCTGGGGGGGGGGGGGGGGGGCAAAACTTGTGGCAAAATACCGTAGGTTCCACAGTATTACAAGGGAATCGCGTAAGCGCCGATTACGATGGTCACAGCTTAGTCACCAATTCACTGGGCACAAAGCAAAAGTAAATTTGGCGTGCGCGTTGGACCCTCGCTCACGCTTCGGGCGGTGACGTGGCAGCCCAGCGGCAGCGCCCTTCGCCGTTTGTTGCAGAAGTTCACAGTTCGAAGCCAGTGGCTGCCCTGATTAACAATGCCAATGCATTGCCATAATAATAATAACAACGAGCCATCTGCTTCACAGCGGACGGTAAAGATCCCCGACGACATTCTCAAGAGCGAGCGTCGGGGTACAAATTTGCCGAATTTGAAATTGCACACAAATTGGTCAATTGGGATTACACGTAGCAATCACCACCCCCTAGTGGAAGACGAATGCCCCAGGTGATTCTAGCAAATTGCACTATTATGGTCTCTTGAGTTTTCAGCTGGTTAAACAAAATAAACGTGGTGTTAATTGAGAGGTTACATGTATAAAGTGGGCAAAGGAGGGTAATTCCTCTCAAGTATTGCCTCCTTTTACCTCAAGCAGGGCAATTATTTGCAAAAAATATCAACTTTGTTGAGAGAAATGTTTATAATATTTGCGTCGTTTATACAAGTTAATATTTTTTTATTGTGCCCCCCCCCCACCCCCCCTTAAATGTCGCTGCTCGTTAGCTCGACCAGAGTGCCGTGACTGAGAACTAATGCGTTCACTAACACCTGGCAGACATTAAGGCAAATTTAACTTGGCAAATGTTAACAGTGACAGAGTCCATTGTGGATTGCAAGCAACAGGATTTTAGGCGAGCGAACAGGCCTTGGTTGCGCCGTTTGTTTTGCTTAGTGTCACTCCGATGCGGCACGCGCCGTTTTTTCTTTTTTGGGAAATGTGCAATACGAGCGCTCGGGTTGTGGCGTTGAATGGCGCGACACCGTGCGTGTGGCTCCGTGAGGTTGTCCGCCATTTGTGTGTTTTAAAATAAACACCGCTAATGGCCTGGTTTCTGTGTTTGTCAGAGGCTGAGTAAAACCACGCGAGAACGCAATTGACAGTTGTGTCCCTGGTACAGGAAATTTGGTGTAAATCACGCAGGCAGCATTTATTTAGTTATTTACCTTGCTGAGCGGGTGAGATCTGCGGGCATAACGGAAGAACGAACGTTTTTCTTTTCTCTCGGCATCACCGCGCAGTTTTCGCCGTGAGGGTCGGTCATATGCGGAAGCTTCTCAGTTATGGAATGCTGGAGCGAGTTTGGCAACACAGCTCTATTGTTGAGCTACGATATCTCAAGTTGGTCTTCGCAGCCCCAGAATATTTACACTGAAAACCCCCCCCCCGCCCCTTGAGTAGTCCACCCATAAGAACCACTGTGAGCTAAACATCGTAATTATCTGCATCGTCCTGATCCTTGGTAGATCCAGATGACTTTATGAGGCCATTGCTCACTCAGTTGCTATACACAGCTCATTTATGTCGGTTGCTTTGCTTATCTTTGGCAAACGATTGTTTGCATCATCATTCACCAGCATGGACCAGTTCAAGAGTACACGTCGGGTGGGCAGAGCCGACACGCACACACACACACGCAAATGCACAAATGCCCGACGTTATGTTTTATATGTGTATAAGTTTGGCGCGAAAGAATCACTTCATGCGCATGAGCCAATGATGAATTACACGCCGGTGTTTGACACTTCGGGTAGTGAAGAGTTATGTCCCGCGTGTGAGAGGCCCGCCACAGGACTTTTAATATTGTTGTGCTGCGAGCGCGGACTGAGGCGTCTCGTCCGGGTAACCTGAAACTAACTTCATTAAAAGTGGCTGAAGTGGCAGAAGGATGAGGGAGGGTTTGGGCGCAGAGCGTGGGGGGACATGGGAGGCTGGAGGGGAGTGGGGGGGTAGTGCGGGGAGGATTTGGATTGCATGGGAACCCCTGGTTGACTGGCAGGTCCACTGCGGCTGTTGAGCCACGGGGCAGGTTTGAGTGCGACTGCTTAAGCCAGTGGCAGCTCTGTATGCCCTGCTCGCCCATAGGGCAGATCAGTGTTCTCGCTCGCCCTTAGGGCTTGTCTGCATTATATAATTGCTTGCACGTGGGATATGGCTATGCGTGACTGATTTTTTAAAATTATATATTTTGTTCTGCAATTACATCCCGATGGAGCCATCCCCCTGTCACGACATGAGACGAATCATCACTGTGATCTCTTGCAGTCACAGCAGTGTTAGACAATTGGCCCATGCATGGCGGATATCACACATGCTACCTCTGGCCAGAACATTTAAGGGGCAGCATTTTCTCACGTGCCCTGCCACGCAGAGAAATGCATATGACAGTCAAACCAATATATTTAATTTCGAGAGCTGGATATTAGGCAATTTAAATGCAGAACAAAATAAAATGTGATTGGTTTTCGTGCAATCATTGGTGACCATGCTGAGTCCGCCAGCTCACTCCGCTTGAGGCTCGTGACTGCCTGTGCCGTTACGACTATGCAGGTTTGTGCGGTTGTTGCTATATAACTCTCTGATTTGTTTACGGGCTGCTACATCAGCTGCTCCATCCAACTCCAGCAGCAGCAGCAGCAGGCAGTGCTGTCTAATCGAGGGAGAAGCGGCTGAGGTCGTGGTGGTTTTCTTTCTTCATTCCTTTTGCTCTATGCCCCCCTGTACTGCTCCCATTGTTCTGCAATGTGCACTGTTGTCTCCTTTGTTGAGGGCGATATTGCCGCGTGAAATCAAGACTGATTCGATCGATTATGGTTCATTCATTTCCTGAAGAAGCTGCCAGCGCGTGGAGCGAAAACGTCGCATATCGTGCCGACGCACAGTAAAAACCCGATAACACATCCGAGAGCTGCCCGCGTTGCGATCTATGTCTCGGTTGTGGAGGGGAAGCCTGTGAACGGTGAGCGTGACCCCTGGGTGAGCGTGACCCCCGGGGGAAAGGCGGGCGAGGGTCCTCCCCTGCCTGCGTGCCCATGCAAGCCCGCCCACTCAATCACGCCGCCCACGATTGCGCTGACTCCCTCTGATGAGTCAATCATTAAACCCCACTGCAGTTCACACGCCGTCATCGTCTTCGTCTCGCTACGTGGGAATTCATTATGGGTGGGAGAGGAGAACAAGTCACCGCAGGCCCACGCATTACGGCCTTCGAGGCTGCCTCTAGTTCTGCAAATTGGAGCCTTTTTATTTATGCGCCCTGTGTCAGATCCTTGTCGTGGTCGTCGCGGCCAGTGTGAAGAAAGTTTGACGAATTGATTTCCGGCACGGTCGTTTCGTGTAGCGAGCGCAACGAAGTCTGTTTTGGCTTCACATGAGAAACGCTTTGTTGCTGTCCTTGGGCTATTTTGCGTGGACTGCGGAAGGGTACCCAGTCCTTGCTTGATACATTACTACTGCATTAGGGCATAATGACATTCCGCTTGTTGACACAATGCACCGTGGATGTTTATCTTTTTTGCTATGGAAACTTGCAATGTGTTGGTGTGGAGGAGACCGGTGCGGTGGGCACAACAAAGTTGATGAAAATTGCAATGCTGTGGATTTCAGTACCATGTTTGGGCAGGGCAGCAAGTGGCCCAAGATATTAAAGTTGAGTCTGAAAGACGCATGAATCAATATAAAAAATGTAATTACAGTTTTTAAAAATGTATTTCACATTACCCCCCTCGCCACCATCCCCACCCTTAACAAACAAACGCCGCTGGAGTGAACACGCCCAGGGTGAAGCTCATTCAATTTTCTGGTGCAAATAAGTTTTCCGACAAGAAATAAAACATTGCTTAAAAACGTATTAAATAAAATGCCTCGATGTGCTTGAGGCTGCCACCATGAATATATTGATGAACAGTGGCGCTTTTCCCGACGACATGCCTGATGAAGGTAACTGTTTAGCTCTCCTTGGGAACTGAAGAAGCTCCGAGCTCATGGAGCAAAACGTCGGACAACACGTGGTACATTGTAAAAACGCATCAGTGCAATCGAAAAAAAACCTACGCAGTAATCAAGGACATCATCATCATCATCCATGGTCAATCCACTGCTGGACAAAGGCCTCTCCAATCCGGCGCCACCTCTCACGATCCTGCGACGCAATAATTTACTTCGCCTCTACACGCGAACTGATTTAGTAGCAGCAACGGTAAACGTTGTAAATAGGATGATGATGGGCCGTCAGGTTTTGTTTATAAACGTTTGTTTGTCTCGCGATGTTTCGCAGGCCCAATATGGCCCAGCTGACCTGCTGTGCCCGGAGACGTACTCCTGGGTCTCTGCGCCGCAATGCCTGCCCAAGCTCGACGTCAATAAATACTCGCGGCTCAACGCGGACGCCAGCGCAGGTACGCACGCGCACACGTACGTACACACACGCAAGCAACTGAGTAGCACCACGCACGGGGCGGTAAGATCCTCGGTGGCAATCGTGCCTCGATCGCAACTGAGGATACGTGCCAAGACAGATGTTCGATATCTGGCCCTCGTGTGTCGTCACAGGCTGATTGACGAATGTGGTAGAATAACCATCTCTCTCCCACTCTGCTTACAAGGGCCCCAACTCCTCTGAGTCTGCCTGGATATCTTATCGGGCCTATCATTCTCTTTATTTATGCATGTATATATGCTCTGTGTATTTATATTTCTTGACTTTAAATATGTCTGCGTGTTTGTATTTTTGCTGGATCGAAGGCTTCACACCATTAGCCTACATCAGAATCACCCAGAATGCACCTGATCTCAGCTGTTCTCAGAAGCTAAGCAGAGGTTGAGCCTCGATAGTGCTGGAGTGGGCGACCATCATGTGTAGCAGCTGTTATAGGCTGTGGAGCTACATGGTGAGCATCTGAGCGAAATGCATGAAAATAAATGTTTGTATTGTACTGCTATGTGGGGAGCGGTAGTGTAGCGGCTAGCGCGCTGTGCTATAAATCCGGCGACCCGGGTTCGATTCCCGTTCACGGCCAACACCAGTGACGATTATCTGAACCGGTCCTGGGCCTCCCCTAGGTCGACTCGGCCTCAAATGAGTACCTGGTGCGGTGTGTAAACATCGCCACTGGGGAGACAAAGGCGGCCGGGCGTGGTGCTGGCCACCCACCCCCTCGTGTACCGTTCCGGCCTTCATAGGTGCTCGCTAACAGCACTTGCCTCTACAGTCTGTTAAGGCTTTGACAAATGTCTGTAGATGTAGAGGCTCGCCTATTTAACGGCCTGCCAAACCCCATCGCAAAGATTCGTATATGACACCTCATTTACAATGCGTGTCAGTTTTATTTTGCTGAGGTTATACAAATTTGCGCGCAGGGAAACATGTGACGGAAGCCGCACCCTTTTGATGTTGCAGTAAAAAAAAAAGCATTTTAAGCTTTCACACTAATAGTTTTCTTCCAATTGATGAATACATTTTAAAATAGTATCTTGAATATATATTAGGAGGGGTCGTGTGTGTGTATGTGTATATATATATATATGTAAAGAACATTTTTCAAGTTTCTTGTGTCTGTGTGCGCGAGCAAAACCTGTACTTTGTGAGTGCGGAATGCGCGATACTTGCTGGATCCCGTTGCCCCCTGGCAGCAAATTCTCCATCGATAATTGATAACGTACGCCCATTACATCTGCCTTGACTTCAATTAGTTCTAGCTTTCGTTCTGCCAAACTTCCGATGGCGAATAAAGGCATCTCGGGGCCCGTTGTGCGACGGGGAGCCCCGCGATTGAACGCGCGACCGTGTGTGTGCGCTTAACGGAATAATCGGAGTGGCACTCGGGGGCATGGGAGTGCGCGGCGGCCCAGGTCGGAGCTCCCCTTTGGCTCTCTGGAGATTACGGAGCTTTGGGAGCCGGGCGAGCTGTGGGCGTAATCGGGATCAGTGCTTCACACGCGCGCGTGAATGCGCCCGCCGCTGCCCCGGTAATGTGGGAATCGGTGTGAACTGAAGGTGGCGTGGGGGGGGGGGAGAGGACCGGCTTAGGCGTTGAGAAATTAAGTCGGCTATTTGGAGAAAACTCACGGAGCTGGAAAGCCCTGGCACCACTTCATTCTCTGTTTGCTTTAATCCCGCCAGGCATGCATTCGGGTAATTATTGGCTTCATTTACATAAAGGCTCATCCGTCCCCCGTCTGCTGTTTGAGTAAGAGCCAAACCCGGGTTTTGGTTTCGCCCTCCGCCAGCATCGCCCTCCGCCCCTTTGCTCTCCCCTCATTGTGCGGTCTCATAGTTGCACATTTCTTCCGTCCATCCGCTCGCGAGCGTGCGCCGCCGCCAAATTAAAGCCCCCCCCCCCCTTCCGCCGCGTACCCCCTCGAAAAGGAGTGGTTATTTATTTATATGTTTATTAGCTCGCTCAATTTATTTGTGGATCTTTTGTGCCCGAAGGCTGGCTCAATTTGGCCCGTGGAGAGTTGGGGACGCTTACAATGACGGCCCCTGTGTCACGTCAGCTCCGGCGAGACGGCGCGGCCCTAATGAGAGCGGCTCAAACGAGCGGCGGCGGCGGCGGCGGTGGCGACGCCCTCCTCCTGTCGCCTCCTTTGAGGGCCCCGTTCATCGCGCCGGCTTCGCCGCCTAAAAAAAAAAAGGCGACAACTTTATTCACCTTTTTTTAAATGAGAGAGAGAGGAAAAAAACGAATCGGCGCTTCGTTTGCGAATTCGTCGTCCTCCGCTCCATAGAAGCCATCGTGAGCATCGTCCTCTGCCACCGGACGAATTGATGTAAGGAAGCGTGTCTTAGGGGGGGGATAAAACGACGAGAAGTCCTTGAATGGGATTCTGCGGGAGGAGGACCAGGGGAATGTTCTTTTTATCTGCACAGCCGGCAAAGGCCCCCCCCCCCCCCCCCCCCGTACAATAGAACAACACGAATGTGAGATGTGCAACTGTGGCGGTGTTCCACCCTGGGCTGGGCCTCCTGTGGGCTCCATTTTTAAGGGTCAGGAGTTCAGGTCTGTTTTTTGTTTTGTTTTGAATACACAGTAGCACTTCACCGTACTCTTTAAGGTCTCGTATCGCACGGAAAGTATTGGCCTTTTTTGTTTTGTTTCAAGTGCGTAATAGCCGGCGGAGAGTAACGACGGGCAGGGAAAGTTCGGCGTTGAGGAAACGTGGCAACGTCGAAATATACGGCAGTTAATGAAGCAAAGCGTGGAACATATACGAATCAACATTTTTCCGACCGAGCCTTCATCACTCTTCATTTTTATTGTTGTTGTTATGTTTTTTTCATGTATCTTTGCCCTCGCAACGCCTCCAAAAAAAAAGTGGAAAAAGGAATACCAAGGCGCCTGTAAATTGCGATCGCTTGCGTACCTTGCCTGGCTTCCCGTAGGGAGCAATCGCAAGAGCCGGGGTATACAGAGCGCCTCCCCATAGTAACAGTGCACAGCTTCTCTGTCACACGTGCCAATCTACTGCTGGATGAAGGCCCTCCCACCCCGCACCTAGTGGGTCAAGAGGGGTATCCGTGACCGTATTTTGCCACGCTGGTCGTTGCGGGTTGGTGAACACGGAGATTATAGATACGGGAGCATAGAAGTACAGCACTGCATTGCATTTTGCTGGGCTGTTCTCTACTGCCCACCGTTTATTCCATGCTTGGTGGTCATTTTTTTTTATTCACTAAAAAAAAACCCTCAATATTTCAAGAGCTGCAATGGACAGCGCATACGAGAGATGGTGGTCTTTAATAAATAACGTGTGACGAAGCAAGTCTTCAGTGAAGTGCCGCAGGTTGATGACCGCTGGACCAGACACCATCCAGGCTCAAGCTTGCTTAGCTTCCGAGACCTGTCGAAGCCACAGATCCGCTCAGCTGCGCTCGAAAAAAACTTGTTAACCCCCCACGCCTCCCCTCCCCCCACATCTCTCTATTGGGACACATTTTTTGCTTAAGTTATAAATGTGCCCAGTGTGTTCTCTCATTGTGATTCAAGTGCAATCGACATTTTTTGTTTGGCGTTAAACAAAGCGACCGCAGATAACTTGGTGAAACGTTATCGCAGAGAGTGCCGTGCGTCGTTAAAGTGTGCAGGATAAAAAACAATTATTCGAACTGTCTGTTTTATAGAAAACGTGTCAGAGATAAATAGAGAGATACAGTAATACGCGTTGGTCCGTTTTTGTTCTGGCCTCTGTTAAATAATAGCTTTAACCACTGCTATAATAACAATGCCATCACCGTTGGCTACTTTCTCCCAGCTTTTAACAGAAAATCCACTTCTTGTGAATGCCCCGCAATAATAAATCTGCTGAAAAGGCAACAACAACAAAAAAGTTTTGGTGAACCGAAGAAGAAATATTTCTACCATTAAGCTGAAATACGTATAGCTGCACACAATAGAACAAGTTAAAATATAATTTCAAGTAAATAGATGGATTGATTCCATTTACTTAAAACTAGGTTAAGAGCGCGCAAGAGACCACGGCTCTCATTTTGAAAGGAGTTCTGGGTAACTTCGAATTATATCAGCGCTGGCTTTGGGTAGGCAGGGTGGCGTGCCTCACAGCAAGAAGGTGCTGGGTGCGATTCCCAACTCGGGCACTTTTCTGTGTTGGGTTTGTATGGGTCTCCGCCTTTCTGCACGGGTTTTTACCGGGTTCTCTGGTTTCCTTACAATGCAACTGGAATTGCCCAAATATTCCAATGCTGAAAACTTACCTTCGAGTATTTGTCTGCGATACATTTCCACATGATAAGCTATCATTTGTGGCCAGGTTGCGTCTGAAAAAGAGCTACATAGCTTAGTGGGCCTTACCTGGTAAAATAAAAAAAGTAGTTAAAAGTTTAGTTGAGTGAGGGTTGATGCCTGCATGGGAAGTACTTGATAGAGCACTGGATATACATTGGCTGGTCCTGGTGATTTAATTTGTAATCAAATAAAGGGAATAATTGAATGCTTGAATGACCCCCGAGATATAGCCTCATTGACGCCACCTTTGTCCATCGCACACCTCCGATTAGCACAGTTGGCTACGTACGGTGCGAAAGAAGTTCAACCTGCATGCACGCATTGCGGAGTGCTCTTGCGTGTGCATACGTTGCCCATGCTCGTACGTTGCCTGCACTCTCGCCTCTGTTTATTTGCGAGTGAGCTGGTCGCGCTCAATTCAGCAGATTCTTATCAGGCTTATTGCGCCTTGATGGGCTTGTTTTGGCTTCAGCAAGTACGAATCCGGCAAATTTGTACAAATTATACCGTGGGTCTTATTTATGACTTGCTTTTGGGAATGTTACGGATTTGTTTTTTCTCTCGAGTCACACGCCCAGCTCTGCGATCCTTCACAACGCCACGGAGTGCGCGTGAAGAACCGTGCATGCTGCGCACATGGCAACAATGTTTAG